ACCCCCTAATCCACCATCTGAGATGGCGAGTAATCGCGGGTTCTTCCTTTAACGGCCTGAAGGCAATTCTCACGAACGCATTTCATAGGTAATACAGTTCAAAAATAGAATTGCCGTGTCTTGTTGAAGAAGAAAGCTCGAATACCGCCGGCAATAAATCCCTCTTTATTGCAATTAATCGTGATCACCAGACGACCATATGATGATCAAGTTCAACTGTGGATTGCAAAAGAAGACGACACACTGATAAGAGACGAGAGAGGCCAGAAAACGACGGGCGAGAGAGCGCAATGGCAGTCTCACAACGACACGGTCACCGGAGGCCGGCATGGGCCTATCGGGCGCGCATGGGCCTAAAACCGAAGCGCCTTGCGCTCTGGTTGCCAGTTTTCAACCTTTGCATATATTACAGCCTCTGTGCCGCACAATTAGTGGCTTGCTCACCTCGAAGTCCACTAGATCAACTAGACATAACTTTTACACAATTCTGTGTTTCTGCAGCCATTGTTCTCTAACTGTCTGCACGCAGGGTTTCGCAACAGCACCATCTACTAAAGCTCAAGTGGTCTAACCACTAGCCCGCAGCAATTGCTGGAATAAGCTGCCCTAGCTGCGCTTCTCAAAATGGAAGAATCTGCAGTTCCGAAGCAAAATAAGAATTATTTAACGCTACAAGCTATTACTTTACGCTACAAGCTCGGCTAAAGTCGCACACAGTGCTTCAAATTACCTTCAGACATACGACTGCGATCTGGAACAAACTGCCAAGGAATTGCTTAACCACAAGGGTTCGAATTACCAGAAACACGGGATTGCAGTCAATCACAAAGAAGGGTAGCGACTTCTGTTTCAGAGTTATTCTCCAGAGCAACTAATTTCATTTCATTCAGCATAGTTAACGTTCCTGGCAGATGGATGTATGAATTGGCAGAAGTGGTGGACCAGTGGACCAACGAAGACGCGCCAAGGCAACGCGTAGGGCTCCACAGTACACTCAAGAGTTCCTTTCTTGAGGATCCTTATTTTACAGCTTATGTACCCATATGCACCTTACATGGGATGTGCATATAGACATTGGAACGGAGATGACGGAAAGCTGCATTTCAAAGTAGTCTGCGTCTACAAGAACGACCGGTTCGTGTTCATTCATGCAATCAAAAAATTGACTGTTTTAAGGACCATTCTTTCCAGAAGCAGATTCGAGGCACTACAGAAAAGCCCATCGGGAAAGCCATGCACCAAGAAGCAAGACTGTGGAACATTTGGAGGGGATTTCGACTGCCTCGCCGATCTTTGTTTTGCTCCAGCGCACTCTGTTATTTTTAGCTAAGCTCTTAGAGTCATTTGACACGATTTTGTCGGAGCAACTTATGTTTGGGCTGCTGCCGCTTTTCGCCTTTCATCTGGCTTTTTTATTGGAGCGGTAATAGTGGAGAATAAATTATTGAACATCAGAGCCTAGATATACCTGTCCAATAAATGTGGTTGGAACGGTTCAGAAGCAATGTTTACACTGCATATCCCGTAGTCAGGAAGGGCGTGGCTTCGTACTTCATTTGGAAAAAGGTTCCTGCATTTCTGTCGGGATTTTAGAGTTTGGGACAACTGTAATCAGGCGCAGTACGACTTGGTGGGGGCAATACGCTAGTTCCCACCTGTCACTGCCGATGCCTCCTGAGAAGACCAGCGAAGTCGTGTAAAACTATGCAACAGTAGGATCTTCAACTACACACAAGAGTCTAAAGCCAGGCAGATGGCTCAGAGACTGCGCGCGCCCCCATGCTCGAGGTCGTACCCAGGGCACGTCCCGCCGCTGGGGAAATTTTTGGAAAATGTGACTCCCACTAATTCCCTCTTCTGGTATGGGCTCCTCCTGCCCCCCCCCCCCCTTCCACAATCCTACCTACCAATCTCCCAGCTTTTTCCAAATTCCTACCATTTTTTTTCGGAATTTCCTGGAAATTTCCTAGTTTTTCTCCAAGATTAGGCTGTCGAGCCGGTGGGTATACAACACTTGTGGAACGAGAAAAACCGCGAAAAGCCAACAATAGGGTTTTCCTCAACGCCGCAAATTTCTCTAAATACAACCCCCCTCCCAACAACGAGCAAATACTACCCCTTCTTCCTATGGTATCTGTAAAACAAGAAAAACCAAATATAAAAAGGGTTTCTCGGATCTAACACGAAAAAACCAAACATAAAAAGGGTTTCTCGGATCTAACACGAACCCCTCCTCTCCGCAAGCAAGCCAGATAGACCCCCCGCTGGGGACCCCCAACGCACAACGAGCCCTACCCAGGTCGACTATGGGGGAGGAGGGTCATATTATTAAACATTTTATCCATTGCAATGCTATGCCCTGACTGCATACTCGTACAGCATCAGTTTTGAGAAAGAATGATTCGTCAGTTAGCTGTTTGCTTGGTTTCCGATGACGATTTACCAGTCATCCACATAGTGACTACCAAACGCTACTTTTCCATCCCGCTACCGCGTGGCATCCGTTATGTGACCCATATTATCATTATCAAGGGCAGGAGGCACAGGCTTATACTGCAGTAGTAAATGGACATCACGCTGGTACCAGAATCGTCCCAGAGACTCAAGAACTCATGTTTTGAACAACGGCTGTCTTTCTGCTTGCCAGCGGCATGTTTATAGACTGACCATCTGATGGTATCTACTAGACAATGATGACCTGCACTTGTCACTTCTGTGAAGCATTTAAAAGAAATCTACGAATTTCGGTGCAGTCACTTTCGCTGCAGATGCTGGTGTTCGAGAAGGATGAAGATGTGCATCGGCGATTCCCCCACCCGACCAAGCAGAGTGTAGGTATCAGGAGGGCCCAGACCCTCAGTGGGGAAAATTCGTGCGTGAGAGAACGCTCTAAGGCGAGGCGGAGGAAGGGAGGCAAATGCCTGCTGGCCTGCCACGGGTATGGGCATACCCCGATGCCTGATGTGCTACTACATTGTATGATAGAGGAGACGGCAGATGAACAACCGCTGAGAGGGACGACAGGAGAACGACTGCCCGGGCGAGCTGGAACCAGAGAAGCATGTTTGCAGTGGGATAGAGTATTATTTTTACCAACGGCACACACAACAGATGCTTCCAGGTCGCACGCAAATCACGACAGCTGGGGCGTGTCAGGAGCTGGGTCTGGCGCTGCTCCAACCCGTCTTCCGAAGCTGAGCGGCGACCTCAACGGCTGGAAAATTCAGGAATAAAATGCAAAATATGGCAAACAAAATAAAATACGATCTCTCTCAAAAGTTCCTCTTGATTTTTCCGAAAATTCTGCATTTTTTTCCCAAAAAGCGTTCGCCGAGCGAATGGGTTGCAGGAAATCCGCGAAAATTCAACAAACAAAAACATTTTCCGCAAAGACAAATACAGCTCCTCCCTCCAGTGACAAAATGTGACCCCGTCGTTGGAGACCCTCAGTATACGCCATGCCCTGACTGGACGGTACGAAGAATTGATCGGAAACCGACAGGCTTCTATACAAGCCTAAAGTCTCCGGGCTAATTACCTCGCGCAGAAAGGAGCTCCCGCACTGATGGAAGTGCACAATGATACAAATGACAGGTCTGCAACAATTACTTATCATTTTCTACCCTTGTTAGCTAAGCTACTTAGAATTTCAACGCATTTTGCCCCCCTCCCCTACTAGGTATCACTAGTAGAGGGAGTAGATCCACAGGAATGAGGTATTTCGCTCCAACCCTCATGCTGTTATATTCAAATTCGTGTGGTTAGAAATGTTCAAGAGACAGCCCAAAGCCACATCCACAAGTTCAAGCGACAGCCCAGTACCACATGCCCCTGCGTAGTACTAACTTTACACTCGCATATATGCCGTAGACTAATGCGCGCCTTCTGCAGTCACACCACCACATTTTATTTTTCGACTGTTTTGAACCAAGTTCAAGTTTTTTCGTAAAATGGTTTCGGAGCAGATCATTCTTAGTAATTTCCCATTAAAAGGGTGTGATTTGTTGAGCTACTCCCCTTATCATTTCCTGCCGCGTTTTCTTGTCTGAATAGACACATCCCTGAGAAACTTTTATCCTTATTGAATCTTCTCTCAAAGCTCAAAAACTCGAGCAGATTCCGCACCCAGCATGAAAGCGTTTTGCATTTTGAAATCGGAAGTGAATTACTTTTACGTGATCAGTTTTCACTGCATTTACGAATACCGCGTAGCCCGTTCAACTAGCGCCTAAATGTTTCCTTTTAATGCAATATCTAATTGATTTTGCAGATTGTGTGATGCATTCGAATGTCCCATCTCATTCCCATTCGAATCCTCCACCATCGCATCACCATCATCACAGTAACAGACATGGACACAGGTAGGTTCATTCTAAATTGTACACATGAAATTAATCGTAAGTAAAACGAACATGTCGTAATAAACATCAAAGAAGTTGATTCAAGGAAATTAACGTTATTTGATTTGTGTTTGGATGTGTATCATAGCTCAGAAACAGACTGACCGAGACGGGAAACCCTAGGGTCTGTATTCGGGGCAGTTTATGTGTAGAAAGAGTACCTTTCTGTAAATAGCTATGAACTCGTTTGTTGCTTTCGTTTGAATGATCATGTTCCACTAATTGAACGAAAATCACGAGGGCAGGGATTTTGTTCACTTGCGTTTTTCATTGTTCTATTTTGGAATATTCTTTCATTTCCACGGTATTGTCACCGAAACCGATGTTACCCAGTTTCAGCTTCTGTACCTTTACCTCTTGATCTGGTTTGTTAATTCCCGAGAAAGTATTGAGTCCGTACGAAGCTGCGTTTTTTCAAATCATGCTTCTTTGCGAAACCATACCCTTTTCGTTTTGTTTACTCGTTTTCCTGAGACTCAGCCAGAGAAAAACGCGATCATCAAATTCTTGATGGCATCGTGTCGGTGCGTAGAGCGGCGGGTTCGATACAAACCTGGTGGCGAAACTTTTGCCCTTGATTCAGCGTTCTTGAGATCACTTCGAATTGCGGCGTTAAGCAGCCTAGAGCAGCCACGACCCTGATCCACAACGTATACTCCGTACCTCACCGTTTAAAAATTCAGATTGTAATTTAAACCATAAAATTTCATGAGGCGTGTAGCTCTTCCTCTTTCACTTCCAGCTCATCGACGTCAACCCAAATGAATGGCCAAGTCCAGCAACACCCTCCACCTCAAATCACACCCGAGGAATTGGCCGAAATGGACCGTCAGAAGGTTCTGAAACCGTTTTTGGATTTTTTAAAATATATTTCTTTAAAGAGAAGTTCTTCAGGTGAACCCCGCATTGATAAAATATGTCGAGGATTTCAAATTTCCCTACATTAGTGACGTGAGCAATTACGAGAAAGCTTCTGAAAATAGGGCAAGGGACATTTGGGTAAGTCGCTGTTCCATTATATACTATTTTCTATATATTATTTTATATCGGACCATAGTAATTTCCAGAGAAGTGTTCAAAGCTCGGTGCAAGAAAACCGGTAAAATGGTAGCCCTTAAGAAGATTCTAATGGAAAATGAAAAAGAAGGCGTAAGTTTTTCAGTACATGTAGAATGGAACAAAATTGTGGAAACAAAATATCCTGTGGTCTTAACTCAAAAATAGACACCGTTCATTTCATTTTTCATTCTCCAAGGAAGAAACTGCGCTGGACTCTGCTTTTTTGAGCAAACTCCGTTACTTCGGCATAGGCTATCTTCAGTCTTGTATCGGTGGGGCTTTGCGCTTACCTTGAACTCGGGACTGCTCCAGAAAATATGAAGCGCGTGGAAGTCTGACGATTTTTGACGCCACTTATAAAAGGCAAAAAGATTCGGATATTTCTACTCGTAGCACTCCTTAACAGTATTCCGTACTAGCCTGCGGGCAAGACTCACCCATAATTCACCATTCTTGTTATAACTTTCGTATA